AAAACAAGACACCATAAAATGGTGAAAGATCAGGAAAGAGCTGAGAGAAGAAAAAAAAAATGTGTGTTTAAAAAAGAAAGGGACCAGGTAACAGTGAAACACTCTGTAATTTTAGCTACTCTGGAGGCAGAAATCAGGATTGAGGTTCAAAGCCATGCCAGGCAAACAGTTTGAGATACCCTATCTCAAAAATACCCAACACAAAAAAAGGGCTGGCAGAGTGGCTCAAGTGCTATAGCACTTGCCTGAGTTTAAACCCCAGTATCACCAAAGAAAAGGAGAGAGAGAGAGAGAAAGAAGAAAGAAAAAGAAAGGAAGGCATGGTGGTACACATCTGTAATCCTACATATTAAGGAGTCTAAGGCAGGATTGCAAGTTTGAGGCAGTGGTCGACCCAGCAAAACCCTGTTTCCAAAAAAAGAGTAAAAAAAAAAGAAATGGGGCCAGGGATATAGCTCTGTGGTATAGTACACGCTTAGCACACTCAAGGCTCTTGGTCTAATCCACAACATCAAAAAAAAATTAAAATCATCACATAGTGTTGTGCTGTAATAATTCTATCGTTGTTCCATCCCTCCCGCCTTCCCTCCCTTCCTCTCTCTCTCTCTCTTTCTCTCTCTCTCTCTACCATCTTGCTATGTGACCCAGGCTGGGATTACAGGTATCACCACACTCAGCTCTGACTCTAGGTCCAGTAGACTAAAACTATAAATGTCAAGAAGAAATGAAGAAAATTCAACTTCAAAAAGCACTGACTATACAAAGAAAAACAAAGCATTTTTACTCCTTTCTACCCTCTGGTAGCTACATATCCAAAGTTTGTCCTTTTTTTTTTTTCAGTACTGGGGTTTGAACTCAGGGTCTCATATTTGCTAAGCAGGCACTTTACCACTTGAGCCACTCTGCCAGGCCTATTTTGTGTTGGGTATTTTCAAGGTAGGGTTTCTGGAACTATTTGCCCAGGGCTGGCTTGGAAACTTGATCCTCTTGATCTCTGCCTCCTGAGTGGCTTGGCATGAGCTTAATCAGGCATGAACCACCAGTGTACAGCAAAAGTTTGTCATTTTTGAAACCCTGGAAGGGATGGTTATTTATCACTTAGAAATTTTGCTAACACAGGCAGAGGTGTTAGATTAAAAAACACAAACAAGCTGGGCGCAGGTGGCTCACACCTATAATACTAGTGATCAGGAGGATCGAGGTTGGAAGCCAGTCGAGGCAAATAGTTTGATGAGACCCTATCTTGAAAAAAAAAAAAAACCCTCACAAAAAAGTGTCTGGTGGAGTGACTCAAGGTGTAGGCACTGAGTTCAAGCCCCAGTACTGCCAAAGAAAAAAAAAAAAGCCAAAACACAAAGTATGCTCTCCTCACATTTTGAAAATTTAACCCTTATGAAAATATATTAACAATGGGATATAATATTTATATTTTCCTTACAACTCCACAGAATCATCTATACTAATACTCCACTTGCCCAATGAAGTATTTGTTTTTCACCTTTTTTTTTTTTTTCTTTTTGGTGAGACCAGGGTTTGAACTCAGGGCTTCATGCTTGCAAAGCAGATGCTCTGCCACTTGAGCCACCCCTCCAGTCCATTTGCTCTATCTATTTTGGAGTCTCATGAGCTATTTGCCCAGGCAGGCCTTGAGCCTCCATCTTCCTGATCTCAGCCTCCCAAGTGACCAGGATTGCAGGCATGAACCACCAATGCTGGGTATGCCCAACTGTGTTGATAACAGATGCCATTAACAAATATTGTTCTGTCTTCTCTTTTGTTTTCCTCCCTCTCTTGCTTGCTTGCTTGCATGTGTGTGCTGTTGCTGCCGCCATCTAAAATCTGTCCTTCTGCGAAGAAGTTTTATGTTCTTTCACAAACTGCTTCCTCTTCAAAATATGACAACTGCAACTGTAAAGATCTTTAGACATAGAGTTTCTTTTTTCCCTGTTTCTTTTCTCGTCTTAAAAGCAGAGCCTTGGGCTGGTGGAGTGGCTCAAGTGGTAAAGTACCTGTCTAGCAAGCATAAGGCTCTGAGTTCAAACCCCAGTACCACCAAAAAAAAAAAAAAAAAGCAGGGCCTTCAAACTAGGGAAAATATTACCTGACTTAGAAGTATTGTTCCTTCCCCACACTGCCATTTCAGTCAACTACTTCAAGTCATTTTTCCTCCACCCAGGGCCTTATACATGCTAGGTACATACCCATCACGGACCCCCAGCCCTCAAATCCTTTGGGAAAACATGTCCAATGTCAATAAAGATGTATCTGAGCGCACTAGCCTCCTAGCCTCCTGTTTTGTCTTTTTGCAGGTTCCCCTTCTCCTTAAAATCTTCCTTTCTACCCTCAGCTTGCTTCAGCAGGGGCCATTCTCCACATTTTGTCACCAACGGCTTTGGATTCAGGCATTTTCACCCAGAGTTGGACATCACCAGACATCGGTGGGGGGCAGGGGGTGGAGACAGAGACAGGAATGGAAGCCAAGGCCTGGGTCCTAATGCACACGGGGAGAGAACCACTGTCCATATTTATACCGTGAATTAACATTTTCTGTAAATGTTTTATGTTGAGATCATTGAATTTTTAGTATCATCTCTGAAAACAGCTGTTTTTACTCAAGAACTGCGCTAGATAAATCATCTGTGGTCGACCACTCCAGGAGGGTTGATTCCACAACTCCCTTGGGTTACCAATTCTCCAAGATTCGGGGTTACAATAAAATTAGCCAAAAAAAACCCTGAATTCAGGAGGAGGCAGCTCAGTGGCAGAAAGCTTACCTAGCATGCGCAACGCGCTGGGTTCGATCCCCAGCACTACAGGGGTAAAAAAAACCAGTGAATTCAAAACCTGGCCTAATGATCTTGTTCCAGAATATCTCTGCCCATAGGTGATATCCAGATTAGAGATAGGAGGGACAAAGAGCAAGTGGGGACATCAAAAGACTTTTTCCTCCGTCAAGCCCGGAATGACCTTAGCAGGACCAAGGTCATTTTCAGCCTGTTCACGGGGAACTTGGAGATGTCTTCAACCGCCTTGGAGCCCAACCTATTTAGCGGTCTTGGCCCTCTTTTCGGTGTGCTGAGCACAAGTCAGCCCCATAAAGAATCCCTCCCCCACACGCCCTTCCCTCTACCTCTAGCAGCACAGCCTTCTCCTCGCAACTCTCAAGTCCCTCGAGACTTAGCCTCCCGCCCAAAGCTCTCCTCCTCCTCTGATTGGTCCTCCCAGAAGCCTTCGGCCAATGGGGATGACGTGTTCAGGCAGACGTAGGCCGCAGGCTCCGGGAGGAGGAAGGACGTCGCGCCCGGCGACGCACCGTGCGCCAGGGTGGCGGCGCGCGGTCTGTGGCGCGGGCCGCGTGAACTCAGGCCCTGGCTGTCACCACCGCCCAGTGCATGTGGGTGCCTTGCTTGGAGCCCGCAGTGGTACGAGGGCGTCAGGGGGTGACTGCAAAAGCCTTTGTAGCCGGGTGGCTGTGAGGGCGAGCCCTGACCTCGGGCCTCCGGGATCTCCACGCTCCATTCCCAGAAACCTTCGCGCCGAAGGTCTCTCTTCAGAGGAGTTGGGCCAGGGCGCCCAAGGCGTGCGGGGCGCACAGCTTTGCAGGGCCTTTTGTGACGCCCCGCTTTCTCTGCCAACGCCCATACCCTCGGTTCTGAACGGAGAGGGGAATCACTGAGGCCCTTGGTTTTACTCAGCCTCTCTGCAGCAGGCTGGAAATTAGGAGGAAGCAAGGCAGGCTGGATAGGACCCAAGCAGAGAGAGAACGACAGGAGCTAATCTGCTGCAAAACCATTCCAGGTTGAGTTTGGGGGCCGGGCCAGGCACTGGTGTTTTGGAAAGCCGCTCCAGGGCCCTTGCAACCGCTGCCTCCTTCACCCACATCTCTAGGGCTGGGGTCGAAGTGAGCCTGCCCTTTCTTAACTGACCTTTCTACTATCGGAAAATAGATTTCCTTCCCGATCGTTTTGACCTGAGCTATTTGGACCCTCAGTGCCACCTGACAGAAAACGTCATGCCAGGAAAGGAGCACAGCTGTGCAGTGAGTGCAAGAGGTTCAATGCAGAAAAGCTGGAAAAGAAACGGGACTTGAGTCAGAATATCCAGTTAGTTTGGGGAAGGGTAGAATGCTTACCTGTCCTTGCTCTTTTGTTAGCCAGCTAATTAACCAGACGGACAAACCTAAAGTCCACTACCGGGATCAATCAGGCTCACTTTCCTCAAGTACATTTGAACCAAGGTGGTAATGTCCTCATTTCTGTGAAAGAACTTCCAAGTCCAGTCTTCTCTTTATCGTGCACCCTCTGCTGGTTAGTGTGGTACAGTGAGCACAGAGAAAAGAAGGTTCATAAGACTTAGTAGAGATAGTTCTATGCCTAGTATTACGTCTTTAAAAGTCTGAAATTTAGGGTGGAACTACATGGAACTAGGAGGTGGTGTTCAGGAAGAATGTGAGTAGTCACCACTGTGGGAGTTGAGTCTTAGTGGCAATGTGAATGAGCAAGGTTTGAAGTATAATAGCTACTATTTTGGGGATAATGGTTGTTTTGAGTCAGGCATACACTGTTAGGCAATTTTGCCTGTATTAACGCATTTGGTTTTTAAAACAGCCCTACAAGGTAAGTACTGTTATTACTCCCATTTTATGAATGAGGAAAGTCAGACTCCAGGAAATTAGGTAATCTGTGTGAGCTTATACAGCTGGGCTAATAAATAACAGAGCCAGAATTTAAACCTAGGCTTCCACATGTAACCACTATGATGATGGTCTTTTTTTTGGGGGGTGGGGGGGTGAACTATGGTGGTCTTTCTTGAGATACCCTTGGAATAACTTCTGGGCTGATATTTCCTCAACCCAAACTATTATCTCTCACTTTCAAATTTTCCCTGCTGTTTCAAAAACAAAAAAACAAGTTAAGTGTAACCATGCTCTGAAACATATTATCTTACCCACAGGAATCTGATCCATGAAAACTTGGGAGGTTTATTAACAGAATACCAAAATGTACTCCCCTGCCAGTTCCAAAATCCTGTACAGGAACTCCCGGTTTCTCCGGTTAGCTTTTCTCCAACTTCATCACCAGCAGCAGAGTGGTGTGTTTTGTGATGTCCTTCTGCAGGCAGAAGGTAAGAAACTGGTTAGGATTCAACTGTAAATTCACCATAGAACAGAATAAAATAAGGCTAGAGGTGAAGGACAAAAACCAGGAGAATGTTACTACCTTTAGTTTATTACTATAAATTATTTGATAAAGAGCTGTTTATTTGCAAAACACTGTTTTAAAAGAGTGAAATTATGATTATGCCTTCTTTCACTTACAAAATGAAACTAGCGTTGGAGGCATGGCTCAAGTGGTAAAGGACCTACCTTGCAAGTGTGAAGCCATGAGTTTAAACCATAGTACTGTCAAAAAAAAAAAAAACTAGCCAGGTGTGGTGGCACATGCTAGTAATCCCAGCACTCAGGAGGCTAAGGCAGGAGGATCTCAAGTTCAAGGCCAACTTGAGCTATATAGTAAGACCCTGTCTCAAAATAAACAACAACAAAAAACTAATTATAAAGTTTAATAAGCATAGGAAGTCCATAAAACATGGTTAATAACCTAATGGAGTGGTTCTAAAGTAAGAGGTAACATACATTAAACACTTTAGAACAGTGTTTTTATTTTATTTTATTTTTATTTATTGGCGGTGCTGGGATTTGAACCTGGGGCCTTGAGCTTCCAAGGCAGGCACTCTACCACTTGAACCATGCCCATAGCCCTGGAACAGTGCTTTTAATATACTAAGTGTTATATGATGTTACTACATTTTCCCATTTTCTTTAAAAGGTTTTGCTTAAATTTTTCTTGTCTTCAAATTGTTGATTTTAGTTGTTTGTTGTTGGTACTAAAACTGTCTACCTTAAACCTGGCACTGGTGGCTCACACCTATCATCCTAGCTACTCAGAATATCTGCCTCACAACCTCCTGATCAGGAGGATTGCAGTTCAAAGCCAGCCAGGGCAAATGGTTTGTGAGACCCTATCTCGAAAATACTCAACGCAAAAAAGTGCTGGCAGAGTGGCTCAAGTGGTAGAGTGGTTGCTTAGCAAGTGTGAATCCCTGAGTTCAAACCCCAGGACCACCAAAAAAAAAAAAAAAAAAAAAGTGTATAGCTTATCCTTACCCACCCCTTTAGCTTGAGAATGCTAAATGAGTATAAAGTAGACCTTGGTATAATGTAAAAGGCAGGAGACTTAAGAGTCAGAAGGCCTGAGTTTAGTTTAAGCTTTGTTATTTTGTAACTGTCAAATGGGCACGCAATTTCTATCTGTGGGGCTCAGTTTCTTCACTTATAAAACAGGATTTTGGACTGGAGGCATGGCTTGGGTGGCAGAGTACCTGCCTAACAAGTGAGAGACCCTGCTGTACCAAGAAAAAAAAGTGGATTTCAACAACCAACATTGTTTAGTATTGCATAGTAATCTACAGTTTACAGACTACATATGACAGTATAGTTTCTTATTTGAATCTAACAGCCTTGTGAAATAAGTAATGTTATTTGGTTCCAGTTCTACAGGTGAGTTAATTGGTTCTCTTAGTGAGTGTGGAGCTAAGAGTCATTTTTTGGGGGGGTACTAGAGCTTGAACTCAGGGCCTACACCTTGAGACACTCCACCAGCCCCTTTTTTTTTTTTTTGGACTGGCAGGGTATCTCAGGCAGTAAGAGTGCCTGCCTAGCGAGCATAAGGCCGAGTTCAAACCCCAGGGTTTTTTCAAGATAGTGTCTTGAAAACTGTTTGCTCAGGCTGGCTTCAAATTGTGATCCTCCTTATCACTGTCTCCTGAGTAGCTAGGATTACAGGTGTGAGCCACCATCGCCTAGCTTCACTTTTAAATTCAGAATAAACAACAACAAACCTCCCTCCTCCTAGTTTTCTGTTGAATGCTAAGAACTGTGCTAGCTTGCACCTACAAAACTAAAGTCCCTTCTCTTAAGGAAGTTATGTTGGGGGAAGACATTCAAATAACCAGTGCATTCAAGTAACTGTGCTGTATACTAAAAATATAATTGGCTAATACAGGCTGTAATAGGAGCACAGAAGAATCCTTGGGGATGCTAGGGGACAAGGTTAGAGAACAGTTTTTCAAAAAAATAACCCCTAAGGTGAGCACTGAAGGACAAACAGAAGTAGCAGGAAGTAGGAAAATATTTTTCCAGAGAGAGAGAACTGCATGTACGAGACTCAGAGATGTGACCAGTGGTTTGTGAGTAGCTCATTATGGCTAGAACACAAGGAACATTGGCCCAAGATGGCTTGAGAAATTAGCAGTCACAATAGGTCTTCAGTGTCGTGTAAAGGAAGTAGCTCTTGTCCTTAGGACACTAGGAAACTATAGAACAGTTTTAAGCAGGTCATGGTCAGATAACACTGCTTTAGAAATAACACTCAGGCTACATAAGAATTAACTGGGTGGTTACTGAGTTTAGGTAGGAGGTGGTTTTATGATCTAGGAGAGGATGGTGGGCTGAACTAAGGCATTGAGAAGAGAGAGAAATGTCTGAGCTGTTGAAGAGAATTTATAAAACTTGATCAGGTGACATAGGAGCATGGACTCTAGCCAAACACTGTGGGTTCAAATCTTGTTTCTTCTACTTATTAACTATATAAATGGGCATGTTATTTAACTATGCCTCAGTTTATTGAGCTACAATACCAGTCACTAAGAAAAGATGGGTTAATACTGCTAAAACCCTTAGAACAATGCCTGGTGGCATATATAAAGACTCAAAAAGTATTAGTGATTTGTAAAATTGATTAGATATGGTGGGCAAAGGAGGGAAGGATCAGATGACTTGTAGTTTTCAGGCTTGAATATGGTACCTTATTTGATGTAGAAGACAGGGAGGTTTTTTTCTCTGTCCCTTTTTTGGCATTCCCTTATGTTTGCTAGTCTCTACCACTTGAGCCATTATACCACCCTCTTTTGTATTAGATATTTGCAAGATAGGGTCTCAAGAATCTTTTTGGTATTTTGAGACAGGGTTTTGCCAGGTAACTCAGGTTGGCCTTGAACTCATGATCCTCCTGTGTTAGCTTTTGTCTTTTGGTCCTGGGGCTTGACTTCTGGGCCTTCACCTTGACACCGTGAGACACTCCACCAGCCCTATTTTTGTGAATCCTCACTATTCAGGGGACAGAGATTATGAGGATCATGGCTCAGTGCCAGCCAAGGGAAATAGTTTGAGACTCTATCTTGAAAGTACCCAATACAAAATGGTTGGCGGAGTGGCTCAAGTGGTACAGCACCTGCCTAGCAAATGTGGGACCCTGAGTTCAAACCTCAGTACTGCAAAAAAAAAAAAAAAAAATTGATAAATTTATTCAGCAAGTATTTGATGCTCAACTTTTATGGCAAGCACTGAATATAACCTCGGCTTTGTAATAAGTACTGAAAATACCTCAATGAGCAAGACAGACATGGTCCTGACCCCATAGAACTTACAGTGTAGTAAAGGAGATTGTCAATTCCAGTACTTATAGATAAGTGCTTTGATAGCTACAAAGGACCCCTCTGTGCCCAGATGCACTTAAACCTACTTGCAGTGGGCTAGAAAGACTTTCTGAGCCAGGAGCTGGTGGCTCACACCTGTAATCCTAGCTGCTTGGGAGGCTGAGGTTGGGAGGATCATAGTTCAAGGCCAGCACAGGGAAATAGTTCACAAGACCCCATCTCCAAAAAATAACCAGAGCAAAATGGACTGGAGGTATGGCTTAAGTGATAGAGCACTTGCTTTAGAAGTGTGAAGCCCTGGGTTCAAGCCCCAAACCCCAGTCCCACCAAAAATTAAAAAAAAAAAGAAAGGCTTTCAGAGGCTTTCAGAAGGAAATGATGTTGAAACTAGATTTTGGAGAATGAAAACAACAAATTAGCTAAGCAAAAGGTAATGACAGAAGGGTCTAGGCAGACAGAAGGAACAAGTTTTTCTTAAATTCCATGGAGGAACACTAAGGAACAGTACATTTGGGTAGTAATGTCTATGAACATGCTAGTCTACATAACAAAAATGTGTGGGTTTCCCTCCAGGTGAAGCAGTCCCAGCCCACTGCTGTATCCTTTCAGCCTGCAGCCCCTTCTTTACAGAACGCCTGGAGCGGGAAAGACCAGCTCAGGGTCGGAAGGTGGTGCTGGAGCTGGGTGGCCTGAAGATCAGGACACTTAGGAAGCTGGTAGATTTCCTGTATACCTCAGAGATGGAAGTATCTCGAGAAGAAGCCCAGGATGTGCTGTCTGCTGCCCGTCAGCTCCGAGTATCTGAGTTAGAAACTCTTCAACTAGAGGGTGGAAAGCTGGTGAAGGCACCACAAGGCCGAAGATTGAACCGAGAGTGCTTACAACCACCAAGTCCTGCACCAATCTCTGCCAGAGTGGTAGCACCCAGCCGCCGCCCTCGAACTCCACTGCCTGTTACCCAGACTCCCTGTCCTCTTGGAGCAATGAGGTTTAAGTCCTTAGGGAAGGAGGAGGAGCCCCAGGAAAAGAGCAACCTACCAAATACAGAGAACTTGTCAGGTACACTTTTGCTCAAGAGGAAGGCTAGAGCCTGCCCAACTCCACAAGAAAAAAGCTCTTCTCTATCAAGCCACAGTCAGGAGCCTAATGAGAACAAGAATGACCCTGCCCATGGTTCCACAGCACTTTCCCCACACAGTTTGTATCCCTCTGTGGGTGAGCGACTATTGCCCAGGAAGATCAGGCTTAGTCGCTCAAAGCCTTCTCCTGACATCCCTACATCCAAGCCTTCCAGCATTTTAAGTGGACCCAGCTCAGTGTCCACAGCCCCTGGCAGGCGTCTTTGGCGACAGAGGAGTATAAATAAAGAAGCACAGGATGAAGACAAGCAGAAGCCAGGGAGAGCTAGTAGTCCTCTCCAGAGCACCCCAAGCCCATCTAGTCTTGGGAAGACAGGTGGGTGCAAGAAGCGGAGCCCTGAAGTCCGAGCACCCAACTCAGACCCTGCAGAGGAGGGGCAAATTGGGAGAGTGAAACTTCGGAAGATTGTCAACGGCACCTGCTGGGAGGTGGTACAAGAGCCTCCTCTCAAAAACTCTCAAAATAGCCCTCAGATACCAGAACTTCGAGGAGACTTGGAAGAGCCTCCAGGAACTCAGCTATCCTCTGTTAATAAGCAAGAAAAACCTGCTAGAATAAAACTATGTCAGGACTCCCCGGAGGTCCCTGGGCTACAAGACATTCTGCTGTCTGCTAGCCACTCCCCAAACCACACTGTGAAGTCCAAGTTTGGGTCCAGTCCAGAGCTGGTAGGAAAAGGACCTGTGTTGAATATTGATTGCAGAGAGCCCTATGCATTTGACACAACCCTACTTGGGCAGCCTTGTGAAGCTGAAGAGTACCGAATCACAAGTGCTGCAGCCACCAGTGAGCTGGAAGAGATCCTGGACTTTATGCTGTGCGGCTCAGACATTGAGCCACCTGTGGGGTCTCTGGAGAGTCCTGGGGCTGAGGGCTGCAGAACCCCTAGTTATCACCTGACAGAAACAGGAAAAAACTGGATTGAAGGAGAAGAGTGGTGTTTGTCTGACATGGAACTCTGGCCCAGGGAGCTTACAGAATTGGAAAAGGAACCTGATGGTGAGAACAAAGAGCCAAACAAACCACTTAGTCCTCTTGTCATGCCCTCTGAGAACAAAGAGCCAGTTGAGCCCCTAAGCCCCTTTGTCATGACCTCTGAGGTGAGGGAAGGAGAGGTGCTTTCAGTGGGAGGCTCTTGGACTCCAGACCTTGAAATTACCAACTCCCAGCCACTGGATGGTCAGGGAGATAAACTTATACACATTGACTCTCCTGACCCTTCCCAAAGGTCTTATAGCAATCTCTCTCCTCCATGCTCAAATTGGGCAGAGACTGGGCTAGAAGTGTCCTTAACCATGAATGAGATATTGTACCCTGCTTCCAAAGTAGGCAAGGAGGGATTTGATAACTCTGAGCTGCTACACCCACATTCTGCCAGCTCTGACGATGAAGAGATTGATGTGCTGGACTGGACAGCAGAAGGGAGGCTGGGACCCACTAGTATCCCTTCCGTATGGCCTGACCCTTCCTCAGAGTCAGAAACAGAGGTAGATATACTAACGTAGTGGGAGGAGGAGGGCAGGTTAGAGGTCAGGGGAGGGAAGTGTTGACCAACAAAAGGCTTATTGGCAAAATTGCACATGCCCTCCTTTTTGCCTAAGAGGTAGGTGTACCCTTGGTTCCTTCCTCCCTCCCCAGGCCTTAAAACCAGGCAGTAGTAGTACTATGAATAGAAAATTATGAACTTGAACTATTTCTTTGTACTCTTTTTCAGTTAGTGACAAGTGAAGCAATAAAACTGGTCCCCAGCTGAAGTGGGTCATAGGTAGTAGCCAAGACCAGATCTTACAGTTCATGAGGTATCTAGGCACTGAAACTTCAGGGGATACTAAAAAGAACACTCTGTGGTGGGGTTCTGTGTAAAGAAAACGTTCCAGAAGGCATTAAGCTGTGTTAGGCCTAACACTGAGTGAGAGTGGTGGGACACTGTCCAGCATGTGTTTGTGGGGGCTTTACTTATTGCCAGTATGGGAAGTCTAACTAAAACCCAGAGACCAGGAAAATATACTTCCATGATCACTTCCAAGAAGTGAGTTGAAAAGATACAGTTGCTTTAAAAAAAAATTTTTGTTTTGCTCCCTTTTTACAAGTATTTTACACGCTTTACCAGAAACCCTGAGTTCCCTGCCAAATGGTGACCTGGGGCTATGAAAAAATGCAAGGAGCACCAATCCCACAAGGCTGGCTGTGCCCATCTCTTAACATAAAATTTTAATTTTACTCAGATACTTTATTTCAATTTTTATTAAACAAACCAAATCCAAACACTTTTACAATGCCTTACTGGAGGGAATGCCTCACAACTGAACCATCATTTCTTGAGGGGAAGAAACTATGGCTTCAGGTACATGACTGAAGTTTGGCCATGTCCCATCATAAATGCTCCAACATCACCAGGGACTGAAAGCTGCAAAAAATGAGAAGGAAAAAGGTTAGAGAAGGGATCCAGGCAACCATAAAGACCAAGGAAAACATTTCCCCTCACCCTTGAACTCAAATCCAGAATTCAAGGATCACATCCTTCTCCCAAAGCCCACTCAAATATACAAGTTACTGACAACCTACCAAAACACTGTTAAAACCACTAGGAACAAAGCTGAATCCTTGTAACCAGGAGTGGGCTTATTGTAGTGCAGTGTTGTCACATGGGACAAAAGCAACACTCTAAGAACATACACCAAAAGAGGAGGTGAAATTAACATGAAACATTCTGCCAGTAAGATGCTAACTGGGGGACTGGAAGTGTGGCTCAAGCGGTACAGCGCCTGCTTTGCAAACAGGAAGCAAAGAGTTCAAACCCCAGTCCCACCGAAGCAAAAAAAAAAAAAACAGTATTCTAACTGGGGCTGGCAGAGTGCCTTCAAGTGGTAGTAAGAGGCCCTAAGTTCAGCCTCCAGTAGTGCTACCAAAAAAAAAAAAACACAACTCATTAAATAAGAAAGCATACATCATCAGTAAAGGAACCAGTTAAGATTTATACCTGACTTAAGCAATAAAAAATGGCCACCAGGTGCCGGTGGCTCACCTGTAATCCTAGGTACTCAGAAGGATCGCGGTTCGAAGCTAGCACGGAAAAATAGTCCGCGAAACCCTTCACAAAAATAGGGCTGGTGGAGTGGCTCAAGGTGAGGGCCCTGAGTTCAAGCTCCAGTACAGCTTCCCCCCCCACCCCCCAAAAAAAGGCCACCAGGAATTCGGAAATGAATTTTCACAGATGCAAAGTCTATACCACCAGAGCATCAACCAACAGTAACTTTTCCAAGGGCACAAACTACACTTCTCTAAATCACACTATCACCAGTACGCTACAATTTAGCTCAAAGACAAAAAAACCCAAAAAAACCCCGCAGTGACCGAAGGGCATACCAGCTGGGAACATTTTAAGGTGTCTGTGAATCCGTTTTAACAGTAGGACTCCTTTGGTGGCTGCCCCGAAGTGAATCTTTCCCCTCCCTCTCCCGCTTCAAACCTCAGCATGAGGACTTCTTCCCACACCTCCCTACGAAAGGTGCTTCTTCAGCTCTTCCACCACCTCCTGAGGCTCAGGGAATTTGAGTTTGCGTGGGGGCCCCTTCTTAATTCCAGTCCACAGCTCGGAACCTGAAAAAAGGGGCCAAAGAAAGCTAAGTTACTTTGGAGTCGATGAACCCCTCCCCCAGTCCACCAGCCTCGCTCTTTGAAGTAGCGCTTCTTTGCTGCAGGTCCGTGCCCTGTCCCCCAGGCCGGGCCCGCACTCACTGCTGCCGTCCGGGCGCAGCAGCGTCACCTCGAAGCTTCCCCTGCGAGGCTTGGACGGGTTCACCTTCACTGGCAGCTCCGGGGCCTCCTGGCGCAGCGCCTGGCTCACTGCCGCAGCGTTGCGCCCGTAGACGCGTCAGCTCGTGCTAGGGAGAGACCCGGTGGATGGAGATGGGGCCTCTGTCTCCGCCACCCCCGCGCCCCCTCCTGCAACTCTCCAGGCCCCTCACCAATGCTCAATGACGACGACCGCCTCTTCCACTTCTTCCCGGCCGTTCGCCAGTTTCTCCTTCTTATCCGCGGTCGCGATCACCCCGGCCTCGGCCTTCCGCTTCTTCCCGCGAGGAGCCATGGAGTCTAGACACGGCCGGGAGCCGAGCCGACGTGGGCTGGAGAGGAGGAAGAGGGTGAAGACGCGACCGCTGAGAAGAGCCGGGTACTACACCCGGTTCCGAATTGTAAGGCGCAGACCAGAACCTCCACTCCAAATGCGAACCTCTTCCGGAGCACAAAGCGTGGCTCGCAGCGCCCACGCGGTCTGGAGGCGGGGCTTTCGAGCGCAACCACCAAGCTGACGGGGGGGGGGGGCTTACGCGCGGTCCAGACCGAACCATCCGGCTCAGAGTCCGGGGGCACTGGGAGGGTGGGAGGGGGCGGGGTGGGAACTAAGGTCTGAAACCAAAGCTCGTTTCACAGGGGTATCTGTACCTCCGCCCCTTCCCCAAACCCTTCTCCCTGGGATCAATTCCAAACCAAATCCACAACCTATTCCCTGCGGTTGGTATTCTAAATAACATTTGGGGAGATGGATGCCCAGCACTAGGTAAAACCAAACAGGATGGCCCTTGATGTTAAGACTTAGTCGTCCAAGAGTTGGTGAAGTGGCTCAAATGGTAGAGCGGCTCAAGTAGAGCGCCTTCCTAGCACATGTGATGCCCTGAGTTCAAACTCCACTAATGCGAACACACACACACACACACACACACACACACACACACAAAGAACTTTGAACTCCAGTACTGGAGCAGAAAAAAAGCATTTCCCTAGCTCTTTTGGAAGCAGAGATCAGGAGGATCTCGATTCAAAGCCAGCCCGGGCAAATAGTTCGCTAGACACTATCTCGAACTGACGGATTGGCTCAGTTCAAACGCCAGTACCACAAAAAAAAAAAAAAAGAAAAAGGAAAAGGTACTGTGGGTGTCTGCCGTCCCAGCTACTCCCAGGCTGAGGCAGAGGATCCTAAATTAGAGGCAAGCCTAGGTAACGCAGCAAGACCTCCCCAACCCCATCTCCAAGAAAAGAAAAGAGGATGGCCAGTGTATAATTCAGTGATGGAGCAGTTTTAGGGAGGCCCTGGGTGTAATCCCCAGAACCCAAAAGAGGGATAATTACTCTGCATTTGCTAAATTTTTCTAATACCAGAGAAACACACAAAGGAGCAATCAAAAGAAAATCCTTAGTTTCTTTATTATGGAAAACTACCAACTGGCTGTGGGGAATAGGTAGGAGAAAAGGGCTCTCAGCACAGGGGCTTTCTCATCCAACTGCGACCACACAAAGGAACACCTCAAGCTTCTATTCCCTTCTCAATCCCCACAAAATAAGATTGGTCAATACCATTTTCAGAGATGAAAACTGGTTAAAGGGTTCTTCTTGGAATCAAATCTAGGCTTATGTATCTTTAATGAATGCCATAAAGCCAGAAGGACCTAAGGAAGGCAAGGGTCCTTAGTGCTGTATACCCTGGCATCTAAATTTGAGTTTAATCTAGTCTAGGCTGAGTAGGTCCACTAAGAGGAATTATGAAACCACAGCAGACGGGTGACGTCTGAGTGGTAAACAGCAGTTTACAAACTGATTGAACGTTAGAGGAAACCATTTTCTCCATCGTGAGATCTCTTTTCCTCCTTCAAGAAAGAGCTGGCCATGGCAGGGCAGGCCTTCCTGTAGGATGCTTCACAATTACCAGAATGCCTCTTCAGTACCCTGTCCCACCCAGGCACAGCCAAATAAGGGAATCAGGTAAAAGGCTGTGGCCTCAGGCAATACTTGTGGTTTCAGGAGCAGGGGCCTTGAAGGTGCCTGGAATTGACAGAAGAAGAAGCAATGACTTAGGGGATCTTATTTGTCCTTCTTGCTTTCCCCATCTGGCACAGTGGTGGAAGTGGAGGCCACAAGCTGTTCCTCACGGACGTGGTCTCCACCCTTTGATAGCTTCTTGGCCCGCTGGTATAGCTCATTCAAGTTGAATTCACGAATCACATTCTCCTGTGCAAGAGAGATGCATACATCAGGATATGGAATAGAGACAAAGTTCAGAGCTTGGGAAGTAAGAAGTATTTAGCAACAGTCTAGGAATTAAGGGAGGAAATCTGCTCTAACCTAACTTTCCTCTTTTTTAGGTATCCAGAAAAGTCAGCTAATATTTAAGTATTCATTATGTGCCAAGAATTATATGGACGTGTAACTGCAAAACAATCCTGTGGGCCAAGTATTACTGCCTCCAATTTACAGTAGGAACTTAGAGGGGCCTTAGAAGCTGTCTTGTTTTTGTTTTCTTTCTTCTTTTTTGGTGGAATTGGGGTTTGAACTCAGGGCTTTGTGCTTGCAATGCAGGTGCTCTACTGCTTGAGCCGCACCTCTAGTCCATTTTGTTCTGGTTATTTTGGAGATGAGGTCTCAGGAACTATTTGCCTTGGCTAGCCTTGAATGGTGATCCTCTCAATCTCATCCTCCCAAAGTAGCTAAGTTTATAGGCGTAAACCACTGGTGCCCAGTTCTTTTTTTTTCCTGGCATTTTTTTTTTTTTTTTGAGATAGGGTCTCACTATGTAGCTTGAGCTGGCCTGGAACTCACTATGTAGCCCAGGCTATCCTTGAATTCAAGATCCTCCTGCCTCAGCTTCCCAAGTGCTGGGATTAAAAGTGTGCTCTACCATGCTTGGTTTAGTCTTTACTAATAATTGTTTCTACTACTAGGTTAGAATATAATAGAAATTTGCTGCATGCATTAATAAATGAGGTCTAGTAATGAGTCTACCTCCTCAGAGATGATGGGCAAGTGGCAAAGCTAGGAATCAAACCCAGATTGGGCATTAAGCCCATCCACTGTTCCACACCCTTCTCCAAACTACATGCCCATTTCTGCAGGTACCTCAGAGAAGGTCCAAGAGACAGCTCGTCCTTTCTTGTCAATCTGTGGCCGCCGCATTACCTCTTTCCCACCTTGGAACAGGATCAGGGTAGGGAGTTGTTTGGTCAGGGGTGATGTGCTCACTTTGTACCTACAGGGGCCAGAAAGGACTCTGTAAGTGTAGTTGTATATATTGCTCAAAGTAATTCCATGCTTAGACAGTGGCCCTGTTTTTTACATACCGTGTACTAACATCAGTGTAACGTCCGACATCCACCTTCCCAAAATTTAGTCCTGTACAGTTGTACCTGAAAAAAATATATTATTTACCATACTGAAAAAACTATGAGTGGATCAAGGGGAGTGGAAATGTAGACATCTCAGGACGAGAGAAGGAAACATCTTTGGTTGCAAGGTACAAAAATTAAGTAAGGCCAAAAGCAAGGGGGAAGACATAGTAGCATTTCAATTTTCACACCCCTCCCTTTGCACTACTCACTTGAGAGAGAGGTCAGCATAGATAGGAGCAAATGATTGGCAATCACTGGACCAGTTAGCAAAGAACTCCACAATCCAAGTTGCCTTCTTGTCCCGTTCCAGTTCTTCCTGCCACACAAATGGTAGAAACAGTAGGTTGTTTCTAAGGTTCAGCCTTACAGTCTAATACCTCACGCAGACTTCCCCTCTCCCCCGGCTCCCATAATGAACCACAGTGCCCCTGACTTCAATTGTGAAACACTATTCTTACTCCTACTGACCAGAGAACACAAAAATCACAAACCAGGGACCCAAGAAACAGAAGGGAGAAAGAACACTCACATCAATGGTTTTATCATTGAAGTATTTGATGTACTCAGGGCCCATATACAAGGGGGGTTTGCAGGTCATCAGGAACACTGAACACAGAAAAAAGATGTCAGAGGAAAAAAAACATATTAGGCCTTATGTAGGGTATTTACTTCCAAACCAACTCAAAGATTTCAGTTGCCAAAGAATGTACACTTGTAGATAGTCTCACCAACACAATACCTTCCTCTTAAAATAGTCTCTGTATATTCTTATCATCTTTAATTAATTAGCTACAAGATATGAAAGAAGGATACAGAGAAATGTTTGGGATTGGAAATTGGTTCTCACAATCAAGTCATTATAAACAGTCTTACAAAGAACTAATATAATAAAGTAGTTTTCTTACCTATGCAGAGTGTGATATAAAGAAGGCCCATGCGAATATCCAGGCGGAAGAAAAGAATTGCGTTTGCCACTTTACTAAACATGAAGATGTTGCCTACATGTTGTTCCACAGTGACTGAAACAGAGATATCACAAGTCAGGGTCTTATATCTCACTCTTGGTCCCTCTTCTAGGGTACTTTGTAATGTGGGAGGGAGGGGACAAAAATCCAAGATCAAATTCAGCCTTGGCATGAAATGCAGAACAAGTTCACTACATAATGTCCATTTCATAACATGAAAAGAAGCACCTCTGGAGGGCATTAGGCCTAACCCTGACAGACTGAGAAGCAGACTAAACTTACTGGATCTACGGTTCTTCATCATCACAATGGCGCTGAGAAACATTAAGATCTCCACTTCTCTCTGGAATAGAACCAATGACAAGAATGCAGTAAACAGAGCTGATGGGGCGGGAAGGGTAAGTGGACCAAATACGTAATAAAAACCAACAGAGACCCAAACTGGAGTTAGCTAAGCTATAGTGGGAAAAAACAGTCAGAGGAGCTAGGTTCAGGTTCTACCCTGTTACAAACTGGTGTCTTTTAGCAAATCACTTAATCCCTGCGCTCTCCTTCTTCCCCATCCTCTTTTCCTCCTTCCCTTCCTCCCTTCCCTTTTTTTTTTTTCTCTTTTGGGGACTGAGGTTTGAACTCAGGACTTTGCACTTGCAAAGCAGGTTCTTTACCACTTAAGCCTCACCTCCAGCCCATTTTGCTATGGCTGCTTTGGAGATGGAGTCTCACGAACTATTTGCCCGGGGCTGGCCTCTAATCGTGATCCTCCCAATCTCAGTCTCCCCAGTAGCTAGGATTACAAGCATGAGCCACTGGCACCCAGCTCTTTTTTTTTTTTTTTGAGACAGGGTTTCACCATGTAGCCCACTCTGGCCCCAAACTCCCAGTCCTCTTGCTTCTGCCTCTCGACTGCTGGAATGATGGGTGTGAACATCCATAACTGGATCTGACTGGGTTGTTCTCTCCTGGGATTTGAACTCAGGGCCTCATGCTTGCTTGGCAGGCATTCTACAACTTGAGCCACTCCACTAGCCCTTTTCTGTGTTGGGTATTTTTCAAAATAAGGTCTCTTGAACTGTTTGTCCCAACTGGCCTTAAACTTCAATCCTCCTGCTCTCCCTCCAAAGTAGCAAGGATTACAGGTCTGAGTCACTGGCTCCCAGCCTGACTGGTTTTCTTGACTGCATAATATTTATGTTAAAGTGGTATTGTGAAGATTAAACGAGATAATGGATGGAAGAGGGTTATATTAAATGTGATAAAGTGTAAAACCATAAGGTATCATTGAAACCAACTCAGTGTGACCCTAATTTAAAACAAACAAAAATGAAAAACAAAAAAATTTCTTGGAAAATTTTCTTTTGTTTTGGAGGCAGGGTCCTGCTATGTAACCCAAGCTGGCCTCTAGCTCACGGTCCTTCTGCTTCAGCCTGGGTACTGGGATTACTGGCATAGACTACCATACCTAGCTTCTTGGGAAGTTTTTTGGCATTACTGGGATTTGAACTCAGTGCCTTGTGATTTCTAGGCAGATGCTCTTGAGCCACACTTCCAGCCCTAAGGAAACTTTCTTGATAATAGTCCATCAATACAGTATCCGGCTCATCCATTTGTTTGGCTTTGTTTAAGTTAAATAATTTCTCTCCACCTGTACATGTGTGATATAATTCCAGAACTGAAGGGATCTTTCAGTTTACAGTTCTTAGCTTCTAGAAAATAAGAAAGGTGAATAAATAAGACAGACAATAAACACAACGGAGTCACAAACAAGTAATTTCACAGAGTAACAAGGACCATTTGAGAAAAAGCATGGGTGGAAGACAATAGATTGGATGATCTAAGGCCTTCCATACCCTTATGTTGAGAATACTGTGGGCCAACTTGTAATTGCAGAAAAAAACCAATCAAGTGTGATTTATAGCTAGGAGTCAAGAACCAGGTTTTTTGTTTCAATTTCCAAGCAAAAGTAACTAAATGAATTTAGATACAGACATGTAAAATGGGAGTGAGGGAACAACAGACCTTATGAAATATTATACTTGAAGCAGAAATTAGAAAGGGTTTTCATGAATGAAATTGGGTGGATTTGAGCTGGGACTTAAGGGCTGGGAGTGTAGCTTATGTAGAGTACTTGAGGCGTGACTCAAGTGGTAGAGTGCTTGTTGAGTTTAAATCCTAGTACTGTAAAAAAAATTGTGCTTGCTTATTATGTAGAGGCCCTGTGTTCAATTCCCAGTACACACACACACACACACACACACACCACACACACACACAAAGAAGAGAAAAAGAATTATGGTCAAACAGGAGACCAAATACAAGACCCAAGGAACATTTTTTAAAGATAAACTGACTATGTACACTTCAAATCTTATTTCCTTTTCTTCCTGGGCTAGCTGCAGCTAGACTTTCTCCCCAGTCTCCTTGTACCTATGTAGAAGGAGTGACTACAGTGTGACTAGTACTCCTGGGTGGAATGGGATTTGCCACTTCTGCTCCATGATGTTGGGATGATCTAAGGCTATAGGGTGAAGATGGAATGATTCTGGTTTCCAGAATAACTGTATGAAGCAGAGGTCCCTTGGTGGCTCTGTTTGTTATTTTAACACTTTTCATTATGGAAAATTTCAAAAAATACACAAAAGTAGAGAGGATATTGGTGGGGGAGGGTGCTAGGGATTGAATTCATGGGTATGCTAAGCATTTTTTGGGTTTTTTGGTGGTACTGCAGTTTGAACTCAAGGCTTCAAGATTGCAAAGCAGGCACTCTAGCTCTTGAGCCACACCTCTAGTCCATTTTGCTCTGGTCATTTTGGAGATGGGGGTCTCGCAAACTATTTGCCTGAGTTGGCCTCAAACCGTGATCCTCCTGATCTCAGCCTTCCAAATAACTAAGATTACAGACATGAGCTACTGGCGCCTGGCTTTTTTAGGGGTTTTTTTGAGACAGTCTTGATATATTTCCCAGGCTGGCCTTGAACTTGCTATTATGAAGTCCAGGCTGGCTTCAAACTCCTGACTCCCCTGCCTCTGCCTTCCGAGTGCTGAGATTATAGGTGCACACCACCACATCCAGCCCCATTTTTAAAAAATTTACACTGGGGTTTGAACTCTGGGCCTCTAGGTACTCTACCACTTGAGCCATACCCCAGCCTAACCCCCTTTTAAACACAACCACAAATATACTATGACATTAAAAAATATGTGTATATATCATCATCTGGTTTCTTAACATACAGCTTCTAAACTCTTTTAATTTCTGCAGTGATGCTTCTTTTCTATGTGCTGCAGGGTGTCAATATGTTGCCCACACTGGTCTCAAAGTCCCAGGCTCAAAGTGATGCTCTTATCTCTACTTCCTAAATAGGTGGGACAACAGGGACACAGCAGAACACAGCACATAATTTGGATCTTTTGGGGGGGGGTAGATTTTTTTTGGTGAAAGTTTTAACAAGTATTTATTTTAGTATAACAGGATAAAGTACACACAAGAAGGGTAGGGGAAAAAAAAGAAACATTTCCTGTTCCCCACACAGGAAATGGGAGCAAAGACTCCTGGAGGGGATTTTTTTGAGGCAAAATCTAAATATATAGCCTAGGCTAGCCTCAAACTTTTAATCCTCTTGCCTTCACCTTCTTAGTGCTGGGATTAGGGGTATGCACCACCATGCCCAGCTATCAATGGCCAATATTTATCAACCATATCTATGCAGTGAAGCTTCCATAAAGATATGAAAGGAGTAGATATAGGGGAGTTTCCAGGTGGCTGAATACGGAGGTTCCTGGAGGGTGGTGTGCCTGCAGGCAGCACAGAAGCTCCGCACTTGTTCTCACATAACCACAACCTATGTACTTGTAGTCTTTGTAACGCTCTTTATAGTAAACCACCAAACGCTGAGTAGTATGAGTCACACCAGCAAATCAGTCAAACATGAAGAGTATGAGAAGCCCAATGTATAGTCAAACAGTCAAAAGTATAGGTGACAACCTATTGTGACTGGCATCTGAAGTGAGAACTGAGCCCTCAACAAATGGGATCTAAAACTATTTCCAAAAAAAAAAAAATAAATAAAACTATTTCCAAGTGTCAGAATTTAACTGAATTAGAGGACATTCAGCTGATGTCTGTTGCAGAAATTACTGGTTGTTAGTAGGGAGAAATCCCCATATACTTCTTGGTGATCAGAGGTCACAGAAATGTTCTGTGTTGTGAGAGTATAGTAGGAAAAACTAAATTGTTGAAGTTTTTTTTTGGGGGGGGGCAGGGGAGGGTGTGTGTGTTACTGGAGTTTCAACTCATGGCTTTCTGCTTGCTAGGCAGGTACTCTACCACTTGAGCCACACCACCAGCTCAAGTTTTTTTTTTTTGTTTTTTTTTTTTAATGCATCACATACATAACCTGACACAGCAATTCCTTACTAATTCCACCTAATACTGGTCCTTATTCAAATGATCTCAATTTTCTCAAAATGTCTTTGAGAAGTCCCCTCTTAGCTTCTGGGAAAAGTTCGTTCCCACCAAGTGGATGCCGGAATCCATATATTCTAACCTTAATTTAATGCCTTTTTATCTTAATTAAGCACTTACCATGAACAACTGCCATAACTTGCAGTGTGAGGTAGGACAGCAAAACTAGCACAATTTTTTTCTTTTTCACAATTTCATGAATATATTTGTTCTTGCCATAGATCTTAGCAATGCTGGCACACACTTTTTTCCCCCCCTTTTCTTATTAAGAACCTTTTCACTTGAAGGAAGCCCTTTACAGCTTACTTCTGGGCCATTATTAGGTAAAATAAATGTTTCTTGAACACAAGCACTGAGACACCCATGAGAGTTACCTGATAATCCAGAGAGCTACTCAGTAACTAATGGGCAGATAGCAGATACAGTACTTGTTTGCTGGACAAAAGGATCATTCAAATCCCAGATGGTTCTGAGTGGGAAGGTCCAAGACTTCATCATGCTACTCACAGCATGCAACTGAAAACTTACGAATTATTTCTGGAACTTACTATTTATTTAGTGGTACTGGGGTTTGAACTCAGGGCTTTATGCTTGCTAGGCAGGCACTATACCACTTGAGCCACTCTGCCAGCCCTTTTTGTGTTGTGTATTTTCTAGATAAGGTCTGGAGAACTCTCTGCCTGGTCTGGCTTCGAACCAAAATCCTCCTCATCTCTGCCTCCTGAGTAGGTAGGATTACAGGCTTGAGCCACCAGCATCTGGTTCCTATTTAATATTTTTAGACTGCAGTTTGAAACCTCAGGTAAGGCATGGAATACTGTACAGTTGTTTGTTCAATTCAGGATTTAAGCAAGATCTACAAATTGCATTAGGTTGATGTGATTCTTTGTTTTTTTTCCCAATTTCTAATGGATAGGTGTTCTCCCTTTTTTACACCAGGCTATTTATTAGCTGAAGACACTGAGTCACTTGTACTGTGGACTCTCCTGCTTTCTGGATTGGCTGCTTGCATACATGCATTATGCGTTCTGATGATGATCCTCTAGCTCCCATAATTCTTATGAAGTGGTAATGAGATCTAGAGGGTTGAATTCAATAAAATTTAAATCTTTTGGCAGAAATACATCATAAGCAGTGCTAGACAGTTCCTATTGCATTACTTCAGGGAACAGACTAACCTTTCATTTGATGACTTCAACATCCACAAATGATCATGCCTAGATCTATTATTTCATGAAGAGATACTAATAATTTTAATTTTTTTTTTTTGAAACAAGGTTTAACTATGTAGCCCAGATCATCCTGGAACTTGCTATGTAGCCCAGGCAGGCCTCAAACTCACAATTCTCCTGTCTCAGTATCCTGAGCACTGAGGTTACAAGCAAGTGTGGGCCACCACATCTGACCATGATTTTTAAATTCTATCATTCCTCCTGTATATATTAGCTCAAAGTCTTCTATAGTTGAGTGGTAAAACACCCGCTTGCCTGTGTAAAGCCTTGTATTCTATCCCCAATACCCCCCACAAAAAAGTCAACAGTCTCTCTCTCTCTTTTTTTTTTTGTGGTACTAGGGCTTGAACTCAGGGCCTTCACCTTGAGCCACTCCACCAGCCCTATTTTTGTGAAGAGTTTCTCAAGATAGGGTTTCACGGCACTATTTGCCCCGGCTGGCTTTGAACCACAATCCTCCTGATCTCTGCATTCAGAGTAGCTAGGATTACAGCTGTTAACATTCTCTTATCAAGAATTTAATTACCAGTCTGGAGGCATGACTCAAGCAGTAGGGAGCCTGCTTTGCAAGGAGGAAACCCTGAGTTCAAACCCCAGTACTTCCATGGAAAATAGTATATACAAGAGAAGAAAATAAATGCTAGATTGTCCCAGTTTACTTAATAGAAATAAACTTCTACTTTTATGCCACTAAAATTTTGGGGCTTACCTGTTAGTGATGCTATTTACCTATTCCCTAACTTCCCAATCACCAAAGCAATTTAGTAAGCCACAAATTTTCCAAGAAAACAAAAACTGTCTATAAATACTAGGTAGATTTTTGTTGTTGTTGTTGGATTGGTGTTTGAACTCAGGGCCTTATGCTTACTAAGCAGGCACTCTATCACTTGAGCACTGCCACCAGTAGTAGATTTTTAAAAATTCTATCAGACTAATAATAAAAGATTAAACTTCCAGTATTCTGAATACTAGACAAAAGTACACAGAAATAAATTATATCCACTTTTTTTGACATACTGGTCACTTACATTTTTTGAGTCCCATTTCTTTACACTTGATCTTAGTCAAAAGGCTGAGAAATGAGTCCTTCTGCTTTAAAGTGGCACAGAAGATCAGATAAAAATAGGATCTTTTGAGTTGAGGTGTGGCTCAGTGGTACAGTGCTTGCCTAAAACACGGGGCCATGGATTCCATTCCCAGCTCTAAAAAAAACAACTCTGAAATAACACTGATACACTTAAGTTAGTTAATAATATTAGGAATGGACAGAGGAAGTAAGGAAGCATAAAGAAAGGAAGGAGGAAAAAAGTAAGGGAGTGGTTTTGGAAAAAGTCAAAACTCAGGCGATGTGGTACACACCTTGTAATCCCAGCACTGGGAAAGTCAAGGCAGCAGAAAGATTAGGAGTTCGAGGCCAGCCTGGGCTACAAGGCAGGTGTAATGCCAGATTCAGCTACAAAGTGAAACCTTGCCTCAAACAAAAGAAAAAATATCAGGATTCATTAGGGAGCTAGAAAAAAAGACAAAAATTCTAGCCTTCATTAGGTGCAGCTTTTTAGCAAAGAGCATAAAGCTTCAGCTCATCTTTGGAGGTAATCCCTCCAACTCCCACTGAGGAACAGCAAGGGGCATAAGACAGATTTCTTTGTAACGGTTTTACTTTTTTTTTTTTTTTTTAACAATTCCTTTTCCATAGGCCTCAAAATTTTATTCTATTTTGCATCTTGAGAATTCTGCATAGTGCTTATCAGAGTACGCACTGTGGAAATGTTTACGAATTAAGAAACAGATGATAGTGTATGCAAGTATTGTGGTCAGAAGAATAGTTTCAAGTTCCAGGCTACTCACTAGTTTTGTCACCTTGCACAAGCTTCCTAACCATACCAGGATCAATGTTTTGGTCAAAAAAATCGGGCACACTACTCACCTCACTGGCTCCTCAGGAAGCTTTACAAAATGAGCATCACTGTAAAACGCGGTACATGTGTAAAGTGTTGGTAGAGCTGTTGACCAGTATGAATAGTGAAATGGCAAACATGGCCTCAAGTCAGAAGACCCTGTTGCTCAGGGGCTACAACTAGCTTCCTCTATGTTTTCCCACCCTAAACACAGGCCTGGACCCCACACTTGATATCTATAAACCTGATACACTCCTGAAACCTCAGGTGTCCTCAGAAAGGTGAACCTCAGGGCTCTCAGATACACCTGCATGCAGAGACAGGGTCAGTCAAGGTCGTGGGCTACTAAGACAGGGGGCGCTCACCCAATCAAAGTCACACGGGTTGCCATCTTCGCGCTGAGTGGGGAGACCGGAGCAGAGCGGAGGCAGTTTCCTCACGAGAAGGAAGGCAGCAGAGAGCAGGGCAGAAAGAAGGCAGTAAGGTCGGGCCAGCCATCGTGAGAGCCGCGGCACCGAATACACCAGAGCAATTAATGGTGCCAGAACCGCCATCTTTCCGGCCCTAGCGGCCCAAGCCGCTGTCCGGCGTCTGTAGATCTGGTCCCGCCTCCCTCCCCATTGAGACGTCTATTCGGCTGAATCTCTGCTTCACCGCTTCCGAACCCGGAAGTAGATCTAATACGATGTTATGATAGGTTAAAAAAACTGAAAAAGGGATTTCATATCTTATTGGTCAATCTACCTGTCGCTTTTCTAGTTGAGTCATTTTATTGGATATACGACTGTGGGCCAACCCATTAAAGAATACAGTTAGATTGAACTTCCTAAACGTTTTCTGAGAGCGACGGAAGTAGTCGCCGGAAGAAGGGAGGTTGGGTCGGAGGCATCCAATGACAGGAGGCTCTTAAAGGAAGCGGACCGTACCAGGTAAAAGGTTTGTCCAATGAAAATCATTAACGCCAGACACCCAGGCAGCGCCAGGGCCGAGGGGACGATGGAGAATTTCACTGCGCTGTTCGGGGCTCAAGCTGACCCACCACCGCCCCCAACCACACTCGGCTTCGGATCAGGAAAGCCTCCACCGCCTCCTCCTCCTCCTCCGGGCGGGGGCCCTGGAACGGCCCCGCCCCAAACCGCGGCCACAGCCCCTCCAGGCGCGGACAAGTCAGCGGCTGGTTGTGGCCCTTTCTACCTAATGAGAGAACTACCCGGTGAGTGCTAGGCCTGGCCAAAGCCAGCCAATCGGATTATAGATAGGTGATGGGTGTGGCTATCATCCTGCTGCTGGAGGTGCGAGGTAACCAGCGCAACGCGTTCGAAGTCACAAGGGTTAGAATGCACAACCTGAAGAATAACTTGAATTCATGGGATGAATTGAGGGTGGATGGGGGTGCATCTCTGAGACTATCTTTCTCTCTGAATCCAGGCTCTGTCACTGACGTTTGTGACTACGTTTAAAAAATATCCAGGCTTTGCCTAGCATGCACAAGACCCTGGATTCAATCCCCAGCACCTAAAGAAAAAATTCTTGTTGAGCACTCACTCTGTTACACAAGCACAGTTCTAAATGCTGGAACTACAGTGTGAACAAGACGGATAAATTTTTTTTTTTTTTTTTGGCGGCACTGGGGTTTGAACTCAGAACCTCCACCTTGAGCCACTCCACCAGCCCTCTTTCTGTAATGTGTTTTTTCAAGGTAGGGTCTCTCGCACTATTTGCCCTGGCTGGCTTTGAACCTCGATCCTCCTGATCTCTGCCTCCTGAATATTTAGGATTACAGGCGTCAGCCACCGACCTTAGTCTTTTTGAAGTTCACACATCAGCAGGGTACATAAAATGTAAACAAGATAATCCAATAGAGGTTTAATACTTTGAGAAAACATGCTAAATAATTGAGGCGGAATAACTATTTTCACTACAGTGATCACAGAACCTTCTCTGAGCAGATAACATTTGAACTAGAATTTAGCATAAACAAAGAGGAGAGGTAGTTCCAGATACAAGAAATGAGAAAAAGCTTGGGATAGCTGAAGGAGAAAGATCCATTAGACACAGTGAAGTGAATGAGTGCAATGAGAGTAGTTGAAGATAAAGTGGAAGTCAGAGGCCTTTGTAAGGCAATATAAGGCATTTAAAGTTCAAAGAGAAGAATGGAAAGTGGGGGAATCAGAAGTTACTGCTCAGTAATCCAGGAGAGAGAAGATAATTTGGACCAGGTCTTAGCAGTGGAGAAGTGAATGCATACAGGATACATGTTAGGGGAAAAGCTGACAAGAATGAAGAACTGAATATAGAAGTGAAAGAGAGAGGGAAGAACTTAAAATAACTTTTAAGATTTTAAAGAGTTTTACTCATAATTGTGTGAATGGTAGTCTGGGAAGATGAAGAAATATGCTTGAAGAGCTGGAAATCAAGAGTTGTTTTGGATGTGCTAAGTCTACAGGATGCCTTTCAGTTCGTCCTAAGTCTTATTGCCACATTATGACTGGAAGAAAATAACTACTGGAAAAGTACTTTGAAGTTCACAACATACTGATAGGTAACAGTATTTAATACTTTGAGGTGGGCATTATTTGCATTTTATAGCTAAAAAAAAAAAAGAGGTTGGCTGTCCTTTGATTGATGGTAGGTATCCACCAGTAGTTTCTTTAGCCTTACGTACTTTGATTGTACCTATTTGTATCAGTTGATACATACTGAATATCTGTTTTGGGAAAATGCTGGGAATGTTGGGAGTAGAAATGTGATGAGAAGGGGAAAGAGATTAATAAGCCTGGCCTTTGATTTTTAAGGATCTTATTTTAGTTAGGGATTCAAAATATGTGGTTTAAGGATAGTTCTTGTTCTTGTCAGTGCCAATCTCACAACTTTGTGGTCATGCCTCACATTAGCAGCTAACAATATCTTAGTAAACAATATTAAGAACTACCTAATGGTTTTCAAGATGTGTTCTTTGTTGTCCAAAATGACAAGAATAAGCTGTCACTTGAGCTGGACCTTGAAGTCCAGCTTGAAGTAAAGAAATTTAGGCTGGGCTGATGGCTCACACCTGTAATCCTAGCTACTCAAGAGGCAGAGATCAAAAGGATTGAGGTTTGAAGCCAGCCTGGGCAAATAGTTCTAGAGACCCTATCTCAAAAATACTCAGCACTAAAAAAGAACTGGCAGAATGGCTCAAGTGGTAGAGCACCTGCCTAGCAAGTGTGAGGCCCTGAGTCCAAACCCCAGTACTGCTAAAAAAAAAAAAAAAAATTTAGGAATAATGTTCCTAAAAAGAAACAAGTTCTACCCCCTCCCAGGAGATATGTAGATCCATTTAGATGGATCAGAAAATTTGCACAGAAGAGTAGTGTAGGGGGTGGTTGATGAGACTCCAAAGCAAAGTTGAAGTAAAACATAATTAGATTTGAGTGCCAATGGAATTAAGAGGGTTTTTAAATTTATTTTTTGTGTGGTGCCAGGGATCATACCCAGGACTTTGCGCATGATAGGCAAGCACTCTACCACTGAGCTACATTCCCACCCCCTTTGAGATTTTTGAACTGAGGAGTACTGCTTTCTAAAAATATCTGGAGATAATGAATGCCATGACTTTAAATAGAGAAGCCATTAGTGATGTGGGCAAGATCTGGAATTTCAAAGGAAAAAAAATCAGAATCTACATGGAGTTGACTAGGAACTTAGCAATGCAAAATTCATTTTCAAGAGAGGAGTCAGGCTAGGGAGAGAGATTTATAAATCATCTTCATAGAAACTAATTAGTCAAAACAGGGAAGTTGCAATGCAAATTCATTTTCAAGAGAGGAGTCAGGCTAGGGAGAGAGATTTATAAATCATCTTCATAGAACTAATAGTCAAAACAGGAAGTTGAACTCTTCTTTACAGATTTGAAAAAACACCAAGTGCCTTCTCACCTGAGCCTTAAAATTAAGCATAACCTCCTGAAAGGTGAGCTGGTAGACAAGTGGAAAATGTC